TGGAAACCCTCCATTTGGAAAACTTAACAATTCGTGTTCGAATCATATGATATCCACATCTCGCGGAAAGTCGACACATTTTCCTTCGGAGTCGCTCGCAGAACGGGTGACCGACAGGTCTGACGTGCGCGCGGCACGGCAGGACGGGCCTCCGAAGACTCGCTGCAGCCAGGGGTCAACGGGTATAGATGAGACTGATAGTCCCTACACCTCCAAGTACCTCCTCAGAAGGTATTTGGACCCTCCAAACCCACCCCAAACACCTTCTCAGAAGGTACTTGGAGGCCTAGGGGATAGTAGATGCGATACAATTAAACACCTCCACAATCCTCTACAGGTTCAATTACCAGGTAAAATCTGGTCCGGACGTGCTTGAATGACCAACTCCAGTATGATGAGGTCTTTGACCTGTAGGGTATAGGTATATACTGTCTACTGCAAAATTTCTATAGAAACTGCATAGGCGTGTTGTTTGGAGGGTATTTTCTGCTAAACTTCAGATGCTGAAGATAGATCATTGCGCAATTATCGCTCCTATTGTTTGTGTATTGTGTACTTTCCCTGCCATTTTGCAGAACGACAAAGTCCTGCGGAGGCTAGGCTTATACTGCGGGTGGGGCACACCATTTCAACTGGGTGACTGGGCATACCTATCCAGAACGGGTGCGACCATGCTGACTTATGGGAAAAGAGAAGTGGCAGGTTCCTTGCAGCATCTATCAACCATCACATGACTCATATTCATAGGGTTTGGTAAGAACTGAAGTACATTAGAAACCTGAAACAAATGAACAGAGGGATTCCACACGGTTCATGTGTCTATTTCTCTGAAAATGACTGGAAGATGCCGCCCGTAAGTTTTCATATGTTACAGCTGAAAAAAATAAAACAACAATATCATTAGTAAGTACAGATACTGTAGTACGGACGACAAAGCGGATGTTCAGTCTGATGTACCTCCTCCAACTTTTCCCATGCCGAAAAAAGAAGAACACTCGTTCCATTGGTGGATTGCATCAACTCATTCAGTGGACTCATCCCCGCCGACTGCGCGTCGGCTCGGCTGTTTCGCTCACAGCCCACGCAAAATCTCGACGCTCGTCTCGGCGCGAGCTCACGACGTTTCTGCACGACGTGCGTCGCGAGGCGTTGGAATGTTTGGACTTGAGCCAACTCCGCGGTCACATCACGTGCTCCGACCCCTGTGTCGGGACCGACACGATGGGGAGCGAGGGTCGCGAGGGTCGCGGGCGGCGGGGCTCGGGCGAGGAAGAATGGAGGAATCAAAGGAGGTGGATCAGTTGCACGAGCATGATGGTCTTGCTTTTGTTGCTTGGTCTTTATCTTCGTCTCATGTCGTCGTTCGAACGTTCTGTATTTGGTTCTTGCGTTGTTTTGTCTTCGTGTTTGAAAATGCTCTTTGGGGAATCAACATGGCGCCAGTGACTTTCACGATGGACATGGGGTAAAAACAGGTTCAAAATTTAAACAGGTGCCGGTACAGTCACGAAGCGTGACATGCCGGTCGAGTCGGAGCCATGCCTAAGCCTTGCGCCGTGTGACTGACTTTCACGCGCGAGCTCCAGATTTCCATGCTCAATTTCCAGCTGCTCCCTAAAGGGAGCAAAGAACGATGGTCCATGGTTCTTGGCGGAAGGGTCCAACACCGGAGGGCGCCGAACAATCAGGTCATCAGGTCAACGGCCGACACGAAGCGCCGTGCCAGGTTGCTGAGTACTTCGGGCATTTCGTCGAGACCCAAGAACGCATGATGTCGCGTGTCCCTTTGCCACGGTGCGGTGTGCCACGGTGCCACGCTGTTGAAAAAACACGTGGCCGTGGGCTTTTGGCAGATCGTCATCAATGGTTTGGGGTGAAAGTTGACTGGCTTCTGATTGAATGGTGCTGCATAGCCTCGCGCGTGTGCATGCACGAAGAACATCATGTCAGAAACGCTCGCCTGTTCTGTGTTGTTCTCTCTGACGGGAGCTACAAGCAACCAGCATTCACCAATCCGTTCACCAACAAGGTCCTTGGAGGCTGGATATAGGAAGGATGTTTTTTGACAGCCATTTGTTGGGGATCCCCTGCTTCAAGCTGATGAATTCAATATAATTCAATTCTAGCTTGATGTTCAACAACATACTTGGCCTGCTGCAATATATATATATATACATATCACTGCTAGTCACCAGGTAATGGGTGGTGTTGGTGTATTCCTATGCAGATGTCAAGTGTTCTCAGGTGGTGTTGGCTCACCTGGAGCACTTGGCGGATCTTCTTAGCATCAAAAAGCGCCGTGAAAGGCGCGGATGTCGCCGTGTGTGGGTGACATGTCAAGCTGCAGATGTGTAGAGAAGAACCCCAAGCTGCAGAAGCCAACTCGTTGGAGGGATTATATACTGTAGTGGGTGCAAGAAGAGACATGGGTATCGAGTCAAATGGTTGCTCGAAGCTAGGATGTTTGAGGGATCTTCCTGCTCTCGACTTGATACAATCCAGCTCTGACTCATGTGACTTCATCTGTCAGATTTTGCGACCCTTGCCCACTGTGCCCAAGCGACAGTAGGTTGGAGTTGGACGATTCTTTCAATGGTAACTGGGATCCACTTGTTGAACTTAAACAGCCTCTCTTCTTCAATGAACCTTAATCTTCAGATATGGGTCAAACACAGATGCTGGCACCGCCCGTTTGATCCTCAACGGCAGACAGCGGTGCCGGGTCAGACAACGGCAGCTGCTTCGCTCACAGCTCGTTTCTGGGGCGGGGCAGGAGCAGCGCTGAGCAGCTGGTTCGCTGGGGCTTTGCCCTCAGTGGTCTTCGAGTCCTCAGCACTTTCGGACGACGTGAGGCGTGCGAACGGTTTCCGGTCAGGGTCAGAGACGAGGAGGAGGTGCTGCGTGTGAAGCTGCGAGTGAAAGGCTTTTTGTAGAAGAATTCGGGTGGCTTTTGATGAGCAAAAGGAAGCAAATAGCGAGGGCCTCCAACCTAAGAGCAGGGATGAAATGTGCGTGGCTTTTGTATTTATATGTATTGATATATGAAATCCCCAAAGTAGGCAAAGGGTGATTTTTGTGTCCCAGCTTCCAAAAAGTTGAACTTGAACTCCCACAGGGAAGCTCAACAGTTGGTGGACCCCAGGGGTGCCTATACAGGTGAGTTTCACATGTCTCTTTTCACATGAGTTGATCATACGAAACACTACTCAATGAGGTTTTCAGGACTCGGCTTTACTGGGTCAGACTGGACCTGTAGGGGGGAATATCATATCATCGTTCTTCTCACTGTTGTATAGCCCTTTGCCGCTCACGATTCATCGCTGTCACGATCCTCAGTCGTTGGACACCCAGTTGGACGGTTTTCTGGGTCATCACCACCGCGCTCCGCACGGGTATGTCCTGCTACAACACTTGTTTGGCATCATACAAACAGCTGGACTTATCCACTTTAGACACGTCTTGCAGTTTTTCTTTTCGTTTGCATGACAGACCATGATTTTCTTCTGCAACCAGATCTGGTCAGACTACGACCCAGCAAACACAGCTGCCAGGTCGGCAATCACCAGGGCCGAATCTTGCCTGGCTGGGAAGACATGGGCAGTGAGCGACTTCGCCGCAAGTGATCTTCGATTGTCTTATGGCCCAGATCTGTCGCTGATTTGTCGCGCCCAAGAGTCAAGAACGCTCCTCCGTTTCGAAGGTGGGTGCTAGAGGGGTCCAACATGGTCTAACCACCTTAGGATATGGTTGGAGCGCTAGGGGAAGGTTCTGAAGGTGCCTTCAAAGTAAAAGCATGCTTGGAATTGGGATTTGCCATGTGGACCTTCTTTTTCAATGAGATACCTGACTGTAGGCTAGTTTTTCCCTCAGTCTCAGCTTCAAGCTGCAGATCAACATTTGCAAGTCCTGAAGCTTCTGCTTGGGGGTGCACTTCAAAACCCTAATAGATGTATCAATATAGTCTAGTTGTTTTCTGCTTGTTTTCTCTTTATGCGTTTTATCCCACTTCACAGCTCCAGCTGCGCCACACGCCAAAACCCACGCGGTGAAGCTTGGCCCGTCAAGCTTCACGTCCAGGTCGACCGACGGCCGCTGGCACCACCGCGGGTTCGCACCGAGGATGGCGGCGCTGCAACTTCCAGGTGGTGCAGCCGAGCTGGAGCGGATGCGGATTCGAAGGTGACGGTCCCGTCCATCGCCGCCAGCGAGTCGTGGGACGTGCCAGTGCGTCGTCGCGCGGGTCCGGGGCGAACACGTTGACGTTTGCCCGCGCCTTCCGGTGGGACCGTTTCTGGGGTTTCTGGGCATCATGAGAATCAAAGAAGAAGCGTCATGGATGTCCAAGTGACTTGAAAGACTTGTCTTGTTGCTGTGTGTTATTAATTTAGTCAATGTTCTTCTAACAGGAGTCACAAAGGGGTGGTGTTTGGTCCCCAAGTGAGTGGATAATGGGCACACCTAACCTCCATTAAGCACCCCTTTGTGACTGCTGGTATATGTTCTTATACCATCTTATACCTGGACCCGACGACACACCGGTCTCCGAAATGTCTCAAAAATTACTGTGGTGACCAGGTTTTTATCGGGTGCTGGTACCTAGCGCTTGCTTGTGGGGTTGTCCTGTCTGGTGACCTTTTTTCAGCAGTGTGGGGTTGTCCAGTAGCCCGGAACGGAAGCAGCTGGTATGTTCTTCCCAGACGCTCCGTTCACAGCCCTTGGTTCCTCAAAACCTAGGGAATTGAGACCCCCAGACCTTCTTGGGGTCCGACCCCTCCATATGAGGACCCAGGGTCGCGTCAGCTACTCCACTGGACGGGACTAAACACCACCCCTAACAGTGACTCCTGGTACAGCATCTCTAATGACCTTCTGAGAAGACGTACGACTGGATTTGTAGGGTATGGGCTGGATCCACGGCATCGTTTCGTGGATGATGTTCTCGTTGGACATCACCTGGCGCGGATCGTGTTGACATCCAGATACTTCCATCAATGTGACGTTGGACCTTTCCAGGGAACTCCCTGTGCCGAAACTGTTCTGAAATGCATCCAGGACTTCAGAATTCAATTGTGATTCGCGTTTGGATCGGCTGAACTGCCGTCCTTCCTGTGCAGCTTGCAGCTTTCAAGACGGGAGCTGCTAGCAGCGGTCGCCAGCGGTTGCCACCATGCCGATTCCTACGAAGCCACCGCAAGCGTCATCTTCTTTTGCGGAGGTGGAATTTGATCTCCTACGCGATGACTTTCTGGCAAAATTTGAACGAGTTCATGCTCGACTTAACGTGTTGGAGGCACCTGAGAAGTTGTCCGGAGACCCTTTGAAATCAGCTCCTTTTCTTTTAAAGATAGCACAAGAGGGCTGCTCTCCTCACAAGCCAAGGCGAAGATTGAGAGGCTTGAAGACGAGAGGGCGGATACCAAGCTTGGTGATCTTGCCACTGCGCTCATTGATGAACCTTCTGAAGGCAATGAAGCTTCCCTTTGTTTTGGCACATCAAATGTATAGACCTTCAACCCTAGAATAGCCGTGGCCACCCCTGAACGAACCCGAAGATGTGTTCAATGCCCCGCCGAGTCCAGGTGACAACGCACCGGTGCCGCCAGCGTCCGGTCACGTGGTCGGGCCGAGCGCGCCGAGCGCGCCGAGCGCCGCGCCGCCGGTAGCTTCGAGGGAGACGAATTGCACACTGGTGAGCGTGCTCTCTGAAGTGACCGAAGATCCCCAGGATGGGAGGGTGGTTCCGGCTGAAGCGTGTGCGAAGCGTCCAACTGTGCAATATGTTTGCCGGCTCACCCCAAAAAATGCTGTTGCATACTGTAGTTGGAAGATCCAGGTAGGTGTCTCATGGTGTCTCTAGTGTCCTTCAACTGTTGGAAGTTGTTACTCTGATTGTGTTCCCAGTTTCTTGGTGATGTTGTGTCGTTTTTTTCGGCAAACCAAAGGCCCCTGAACTTAAGTTGTTGGGCAATTTGTTTTCTGAATATCCAGCAACATCATCACGTGGGATAGGATAGTAAGTGCTTACTCCAAATAGTGAAGTTACTTAGTCTGTGCTAAGTCAGGTAGTGCTTACTCTGCATGTGCTAAGATGGTACTAAGATGGTAGTGCTTACTATCCAGCAACATCATTTGGAAGACATGTCTTTTTGACCGAACCACGCCACGCATCGACGTCCGTCCGTCGCCAGGATCAGCTCGGCTCGGTGCCCTTCTCGGAAAGTGCGTGGACCTACCCAGTGGTCATTGGCTTAGTCAAAGCAGGCGTGGTCATCGGGTGGACAAGAGAAACCTTTTTTTTTTATCTGGGATGCAGTTGCAAGACGTCGCTGACCCGATGGTCGGAAGGAGAGAGATGGTTTGTGTCCTGAGAGATGTTGATGCTCAAAATCGAGAATAGAGGTGTCAGTGCCAGCAAGGTTGACCATATCCCTATGTTGTTTGCACAATGTTGCACATTTGAAGGGATACCCTCCATCAACCAACCTAATTACCCTTCCAGTCCAAGGACGAAGTATCACCTGGCCCTTGACCTCATTGAGTATTACAGTTCTTACATGATCTGGCCCAATGCAATGAAGTCCGTAAGACCTGTAGGTAGGGCATGGTAGGGCTATACATATCGTAAAAAGGATGAAGGGTACAGTGTTTGGGACCAGGGTGATGGGACACGTTGGCGCATATTGACACGAATTGAGACGAACACCGGCCTAAAAATCAGGTCCCTAGTTGCAAGTTTCTCAGATTTCTTTCTGCAATTGATGTAGTGCAAAGGCCCACGAGGGCCCACCAAAAAGGGAGCTGGAAAGGAATTCCATCAAGAGACTGGGTTTGCACAAAACCTGAGAGAACCACCACCACTGAGACTGCGGGATTTGTTTTTTCGGAGAAGCGTGTTGTATAGTTCAATCTGTACATGGGTTGATATGGAATGTATAATATGCACAATTATAGAGCCTGTCCAACCAAATGGGTTTTGTTTCTTCAAGTTTATCAGGAGTCGTTCATTTGCCGGTGCTATTATTCTGCTACATTTGTTTGAGGGTTGGACTTGCTGACTTGCTTCAGGGACTGCCACTGTCAGCGGTCATGAAAAGATCCAAGAGCCCCCGCAACGGCAGAAGAGTGTGCTCCGATCGGCAAGTCGGTGCGCTCCAAAGTGTCCAAGATAGAAATCAGCCTTTTAGAAGGCCTATAAACCCTACAACAAAGCAATGTTGTTGTTCGGCCAGAGAAGAAGAATGACCTAGCATTCAACTTCAGAACTCTGAAAAAACAGACCAACTACTCGGAGTCGCCGATTTGGAGGCATCGTGGAGGCTCTCTTTGCAGTGCTACTGTTGCTGGTGAATGTCTTTGTGCAGATGGGTTTCATGCTCATCATCCTGACCCCCGATTTCCTCCCAGGGGATATCTCTGAACAGATTGCGCCTTGGAGTCGGTATTGAGTTTCTGCTGCTTTTTTGGGCGGGGTAGAAACGCGTTTTTTGCGGCCAAGCCAGTTACATGTTTTTCTTTGAGTACCAACAAAGCCATTTCTGGCTTGGTGGGTTTCGAATGAACATGAAAGGGCCAACCCCCCAAGTTCTTAGGGTCAACCATGAACCGCTGGCTTATTTAGAGCCACTCCACACAACAATTTCTGGGTCGCAGAAAGGTTTGGAGGACCCCCCCCAAAAGAACTGCGTAACTAAAACCACTTCACAACAAAAGACCACATCATTCATCGTCCTTCGAAACAAAACGTGTTGTGCTGTCTACATGGTTTTCCTGTTCAAGCTCCGCAGGGTACGCTCGGCAGTTGCAGTTTATATGGCCTGATATGCTTTGTTTCGTGTCATGACACTGACCAATTCGTGGCCAGCAGGGCCGGTCTCAGTGGAGCCATGGTAACCTTGACATGTGTTGACATGTGCTGACATGGTAAACAACAGTGAGGACTATGCACAGCAGTGGCGGAGGAGTGTGGCGCATGATCATCAAAACCTGGATTTGGCCTCCACGAGCCTGGTTACTCGAGTTTGCAACGGTGATGGCGCTTTGATCGTCTCCACTCGCCCCTTGTTTTAGATAAATGTTGAGCAGGTCCAAAGGCGGCTTGCTTGGGGGTCCAAAGGCGGTTCCTCAAATTAGCAGGTCAAGAATTTTGGCAAGAGTAGGATCACACAATGATACAGGGATTTTGTGGAAACCGTAGCTCGAACTGGGAACATGATGGAACATGCAGAATTCTTGCAGAACTTAACTGTAGAAGAGTCTGGGGCAGCCTTGGGCAGAGGACTTCTGAAGAGTGGGGTCGTTCTGAACGTTCTGAAGAGTCCGCTTGTTTGGTCCGAACTCGTGCTGTTGATGCTTGGTCCCCCCTGCTTCACGAAATCAGCGGGAGATTGGACCTGAGAAAGTATAGTTTGCATAAAGTTCTGAACATGAAGCATATCATGCCACGATGCCCCAAATGGGGAGTGGGAAGAACACATGCTATACAACCCAATCACGTCTCAAGTACCGCTAGGGCCGCTGTTTTGCCCGAGGACAAGCGACACTCCTGGAACACATCAATAGCTATTTGGGCTTGAATGTAGCTGCCTTTGAACCGGAATTCTTCCAACCTGGAGTATTACTCTCAGTGCTGTGTATTCTGCTGTGGAGCTTGTGTGTCTACAAGGACTGCTTCTCGAAAAGGATTTGCGACCCTTTCAGTGAAAGCGCATCTTACCCGCTCCTAATGGAGACAGAACAGGATATTTTGATGGATGAATGGACGGAGTGACGAACGCATGTTGCTTTTCTTGTTTGTGTTGTTGCTTTCTTCCCTCAACTTACTCGTGCTCAACCATGAACATGTTCTCAGCCGCAGATCACCGGCTATGTTTTTGGATTCTGGCAGATCGATGTGGCTCAAAAAGTAACAGCCAGAGACCCACGCGTTAAATATTACTCATATAGGCGGGAAGCAACATCAACATGACTTTGCGAAGAGTGGGCGCCAGGTTTTAGGTTGTGGACTCAGGGTGGGACCCACTTGTTCTTTTTTAATTCGCTCCATTCAGCGCGGGACCCTGCAGTAGGCTGCAGATCGATGGCATCGCTTGGGACACATGTCGCACCTGTAACAGGATCACTCAGAGTCGGCCCGTCTAGTCATCATTAGGGCGGCATAGGACAAGGTCCCGTTTGCCAGGGCAAAATGGGCCACATCATTCGGCCAGATATCACACTCCGTGGGACTGTCCTATTTGCCGAATGATGGCCTGGGGAGTCCCATGGGTCGTCCTGTTTGGGCTCTCCTACTTGGGAACCCACGCACCACAGGCCGTCGCTGTGGGGAACTGGCCATACCGACCAAGAACGAACGAACTGAACGTCATCTCCCCGTGAGTCGATCTGGTGGGCCAATGACCCAGTCCCGTTGATGAAAATTGAGCTCCTCCCTCCAGGAGCTCCGGAACATCTTGCATACCTTTGAAGCCGTGAGGCGATTGCCACACACGAGCCGAACCACCGTTCGGAACAACACGTTGCAGAGCTTGTCCTCGGGTCGCTACAAAATCTTAAAGACTTTTGGCCGCAAAAATGTGGGGCTTTTGCACTGCCTGGATTCTGGAGAGCAGAGTCTACAGTAGCTAATTCTGAGTTGTGTTTCAACCAAGCGAGCTGAAAGTACCTGGAAGTGGCTACAACCATTTTTTGGTAGCATGTGATCACTGCATCAATAACAGGGAACACTAATTTTATGTATGATCCAGCAGTCACAAAGGGGTGCTTAATGGAGGTTAGGGGTGCCTATTATCCTCACTGGATGGGACTAAACACCACCCCTTTGTGACTCCTGGATGTATCAATCTCTTGTAGTTGGTTCATGTTAGTTTATCTCTGTGTTGGTTCCAGACAGGGCTTTGTGGCCGCTGTGTTGGAGTCTTGGGCATGTGCAACCCCACACAGGTAGGAGGCTGTGCCTTCCCTTTCTCGACTGCGCTCCAGATGATGTTGTCAAATGCAACGGGAGACCTGCCACTGGTGATTTTCTGGAAAAGATGTCACTTGCATCACTTGCACCTTCCAGCTTGTTGGAATCGGGCGCCACCTTTTTCCATGGAACAATGGCGCCTAGTGGACCTGTGTAGAAATCTGAGGATCACATATCTCCTGCGAACTGCTATCGCCATCTCCCTCCTGATCTCTGGCATTCGTTGGCTGGCTCAAACGACCTCGATTACCGACGCCTGGTTTGCACTAAAGGTGAAACTCGTGCGACGATGGAAGTCGACACCACGACAGGAAAGGCGGTTTAGAACGGACCGTTGTCCACTTCCGATGTGATGTGTTCGGAGTGTATTTGATGTTTCCCTGTAAGTGAATCCCCTTCTGTGGAGTACACTCCGGAAGATTAACATGGAACCTGAAGCCCGGAAGACCATTTTCCAAATACCAACCTAGTCGTTTTCAGGTTCCATGTGGGTCTTTGAGTCTCTTGTGTGTATGTTGTGCCTTTTTCTCCGGTTCCTTCGGCGCAATCCAAGGAACTGATGCTGAACGCTGTAGCTCTCAATGCCATTCTGGATGTGGACGAATTTCTGTTTGCTGGTTTCACCCCGATGTCGATACACCTCTCAATCCAGAAGCTGGAGCCACTGGAAATTCGATACACTGCACGGCGCAACAAGATGCTGAGCCATCAAGTCCTTTTTTTGTGTGTGTTGTTTTGATTGTGTATTGCTTCTGTATTGTATTGTATTATTTTGAAAGCAACTCTTATATACCCTAGGCGTCGAAGACTATTTCTGAAATGGTCTTGGGAGCTCGTACATTTAAGCGCACGAAAGACTATTTTCGGCTGACGAAGGGTCTGGAAGAGGATGGAATGTGTGCCCTGATGCAAATTTGGGATCGAAGAGATAAAGGTTCGGCACCAGGAAGGAAACATTAGATGGACGGAGGTTTTAGATGGGCATCCAATCTATATTGATCTTAACATGACGTTTTTTCATCTCTTGGCTGAACTAGCCTGATCGGCCATGCGCACGCGCATCTAGTGAATATGCATGGATCGTGGAGATCATGAAGGCGGCTTTACGGAAACGTGCTGGGCTTGGCATTGTGAATTTGTCATGCTGAAGCACTAAATACTATCCAACCTGTGTCCCATTCTCTCACTCACAGGTGCATTGGAGCGCATGGTGGTCGATGGGTGTACTCAATTGGGTGCGCAACCTGCGCGCTCGGGTAAGTAATCGGTAGGTGTGCTGATTGTTTTCTGGTTGTTTCTTTGTTGCGTGAACTCTCTACTCTCGAGATGCCGGCCAAATACGGCAATTATGTGTGAAGTGATGGCCCTGGAACTAGTATAGAGCCTGACATCAGGATTTTGTGATGATCAAGGAAGTTCGGAAATGGTAACACATGCGTTCATTGGCACCGTGGAAGTTTGGATTTCTAGATCGAGTGTTGATCACATGAGAGTCTTATAAACCGCATTGCATGGGCCAAGAGCACAGCTTTGATCTTGCCATGCCTTCCCCCCCAGCGGAAGAAGCGGCAGCAAGGGTGGCACTTTTGAAGGCGAGAAGCAACCGTTAACGTGTTCTTGGTATGTAGCGCGCTAGTATGGTGAAGAGCGCAAATATATTAAGCACCACTAGTGGCTGTATGACTAAGAGAATGTCAGTCCAAGGTGTGATGCGTGTTTTATTGTCATTGCTCTGTCTCATGCTCTTTACTTACTTTGTCTCTCTTTTCTCTGCTGGGTTGCCTGAGCATTGATGTTCTCGCAGACCTTCTTCAGCGACTTCATTAATGATGATGAGTGGATGGCAGAAAGGCGCAAAATTTTGCGCGTGAGGTCTGGCCTGACTGCCAAAGACAAGAAGGTGGTTCTTACCTCAGGCAAAACAAAATTACATTAAATTTAGTATTGAATTTCTCCGTGGTGAGCTGTTCGTGAATCATGAATGCCATGAATCGAGAGATGAAGCACCTGGCTTTATCACACAGCGTGGGGACGGATGATTGATTTTTTTCATCCGATTTCTTTCAGATATTGATCTGAGATATGTACTTGAGGGCCAAGGTATCTCTAACAGGGTTCCAGTTCACGTGGAAGATTTGCATCGGCCCAGGTGCCCAAATGGGAGTTCATCATTTTGGATAAGGACCATGTTGGAGCTCGTGAGGCCTTTTGGGAGATTGGTGACATCACAAGTTAGCTGACTCAAACAGATCTGCCAATCCTGCTTGGTCATCCTGTCATTTGGTGATTTGAAGGCTGTGCTTACCCAGTTGAGACAGAACATAGCGAATAATATTGTCGACCATATCCTGTATTGCAGGTCGAGTCGGAGACCAACTATCCACTGATTCTCAGCTACCTTGCAAGCTTTGCCCATGATCTTCCCAGGCCCATGGAGATGAAGGTGGGGTGATCAACGTACTACAGTCCTACACATGCATTTGCTCTGCAGAATATGTTCTTTCCTTGGAGTTTCAATTTTGGAGTCTAGTTAGCATTGGAGCTCAATCAAGATTTAGATCAATTCTTGATTGAGCCCTGACTCATGGCTTCATCGTTCTTGATTGGCATAAATTTCTATAAATTAAATGCGCAATATAATATCTTGGCAGGAGGCCCTCTTTTGGGCCAGCACGACTTTCAAACTGAACCCCTGGAAAGAAGATGCGTTGCACCAGGCGCTGTAGTGGGCTTGACAAAAAAGGAATCGAATAGGATGTGCTCAAGGAAAAGTATAATATAATATACTTATTGAAGTTGAATGATTGATTCATTTTTGTTCTTGTACGACAGTTTTCTTTTCGGGTGTATGTGGGGGTTGGGTGTTCTTGTTGGCAGGCATGGGCTCATACCGAGAGCGGGATCATCCGGGCATGCATGGCGTACTGCATGGATCGGTTCCAGAGGTCAAGCAAATCAAGGCTGGTTTACCAGTAGTGTTTTTTCTAAGTTGACGTCTGACACCATCAGTGGCAAATTGGCGCCACTCGACACTGCTTTGCACAACAAGTGCATGCAGTGCATGAATTTATACATGGCCTAGCTAGATCGCTACCAAGTACATGCCATGCCCGTGACAAAGTATGCCCTGGATTGACGCACTCATCCGCTTTTGTTGACACATAGCACCACGAGCTCCACCACCAATGTGATGTCACTGCTTTTTGCAGGGGAGGTCATCAATGCATGGATCAGATCAGAGAAGTGATCCGAGCTAAGCTGCTGGACTGCTTTGACACGTCGCCCGCTCGAGTGTTGATGTTGCTCATGCAAAACGTTCAACTAATTGTGAAAGTCTGCACCTGATTACCATGCTTTTGCACACACATGCAACTCTTGACCTAAACTCTCGGTTTGCTGTTTAACCTCGATGTAAAGTAATTCCAAGACTGCTTTCACCACTTGGTGTTTAAAGGCAAGTTCCTCGAACTTTCAATCATGGTTTCAGTTGTAAGGAATCAACCAGAAGGGAAACCAAGTGCAAAGCAATGCGGCCACTCTCATCCATGAACACAGTCCGAAGAAGCACTTGTCGACCTCTCTCACGATCCAGGAGCATGGGATACTCTCGCCTCACGGGAAGAAAACACCAACAAGAGGGGTTGGCGCTTTTAGGCGGAAACAAGAGGAGGCCTGCAAGCTTACTAGGACATCGGACATGCATGTATAATATATGCTGTTGTTGATTTTGAAGGCCTTTGAACGATGTGTAAGCCTAACTGATCCAAGCACAAAATAATGCGTGTGCATGCACGTGCATGAAAGCTCCGATCAGGCTGCGAAGAAAGCGATGGTGATCCAGAACCCAGATACGGCCGAGACCCAGTTGATGTATACAGACTCGCAGCTGAATTCCCCCTCTCCTATTTCCAGGTTTCCTGATCTGGGTGGGGATATCCCAGCTGATCTTCAAATGGGGGGCACTTCTGCCGAAGTGCCAGCTACTGCTCATGACGACTCTTCATCTTGTGGCGGGGAGGAATCACCAGAAGAGGAGGAAAAAACTAGTGATGAATGCATCGAGCCAGTAACAAGGCATGAGCTTCAAATCATAGAGATCGAAAGTGAGTGTGAGTCCGCTTTGTCTCCCAAGAAGGCTGCTCCTATGCTACCTACTGGTCAAGGCGCGAATCTTCCTGGTGGTTCTGCTGCTCTTCAAGGCAAGCCTGCAGAGAGCAAAGGTGATAGCTCAATTGCAGAGCCACAGGTTGTGGATCCGGAAACAAAAGAAGAGGTACGCCCGTTCCAGGAAATTGAACAAGTACTAGGGTCTGATGAAGAAGGAAAAGACACCACCAAAGGAGTTTTCAAGGACTGTTTGGATTCATGTGTTTTGCTGAAAACACATGTCAATGCCTCATGAAAAAAAGGAACACGTTGTTGGTGAGATGTGTTGTTAAATTAAAAGGATTGTTGATCGAAGTTGCACTTTGGCTCCAGGATCGAAAGCCTTTAACTCCTCAACTGGGCATCCCTCAGAGCCTGAAAGAGCAAGTTGAGAGTCAGCTAAAGGGCATGGAAGAAGGTGACAAGATGCACCATGCTGAGATCTTGAAGGCCTGACATAGAGTAAACATTGTGACATGCAATCAGCCGACAATCACTGTGGGATTGATGATTGCCATGTATCTAGAAAGACTTAATTCTGACAACGGGAAACCACGATCATGTTTGCTCAATGACTCACATAATGATTGGAGGGTTGCCCTTGCAATACTCTGGAAGAAACTCGTATTCGTGATGGGCTTAGGAATTCAATGTTGCAAGGTTTCATCAAAAGAGCTATATAGCGTATAGCTAGCCCAAAAGTATCCTGCTTGTGGACTGCAATAATGAAATGTTTGAATGGTACGTGCGGTATTGGTCATAGAGTATCGCTGTTTGCGGTTATGTGTCGTGATGCTAGTGGTATATCCACTAGCTCGTACGCAACAAATACATGCTATAAAATCCCCTAATTTAATATTATAGTATTAATTGTTGTCAGATCATGTCATCCTATCTCATTAAAGCTACGGGGCTTTGGGATATAGGCAGCTGTGCTCAAAACGATTTCCCGCAATTGTATTTTCTGCTTGCCTCCATGCCACGCTTGCCAGGCCCAACAGGCATTGAGGCAGATGCAAAAGGAAGCTGCAGAGGATCCTGACAAAGCGCTGGCTGAAGCTTGCGAGGAAGCCGAACAAGGAGGCGACCAGTCCAAGCGAGGCCGTGGCCGAGGCCGCGGCAGGGGGCGTGGCAGAGGGCGTGCCACGAAAGAACCAAAAAATGATAAGAAGGAGGAGGATGGTGGTGGGACACCTGCAGAACCGCCTGCGAAGAGACCTCGCAAAAAAAAGGAAAAGCTTCCAGCAGAACCGGTTGAAGCTCCCACGGACGGTGCTGATCAGGACGAAAAGGCCGATCGGGAACATGATTCCAAAGGAGCGGCGTCATCCCCTAAACGCAAGTTGAGGCGGGGGAAATCCAAGCTGCAGCGGCTTAAGAGTCAAGTGACTTTGGGAAAACGCCCTGCAGCAAAGACGACAGAGCCCCTTAAAGAGGGTGAAGAGTCAGCTTCTGAGAGAAAAGGACTGAAGAAAAGAAAAAAGTCAAAATTTGCGCGGCCAGAGAGTAAAGAGGAGATCGAGAGGAAGGAAAAGAAGCTGGAAGAGCCA